CCAACTAGAACTTTATATGATTTCCAAATATTTTTTTCTATCTTGTAGATTGTCTTTCACTTCCTAGATAGTATCTTTTGAAGCCAGAATTTTTAAATTTTGGTAAAATCCAATTTATCTATTTCTTCTTTGTGTGTGTGTGTGTGTGTGTGTGTCTTTTAAGAAACCATTGCCTAATCCAATGGCATGAGTTATGCCCTTGTTTTCATCTGAAAGTTTGATAGTTTCACCTCATATTTAGACCTTTGATCCATTTTGAGTTGATTTCTGTATGTGGTTTGAGGGAGGGATCTAATTTCATTCTTTTGCAGGTGGATATACTGGTGTCCCAGCACCATTTGTTTAAAAGACTGTCCTTTCCCTATTGAATAGCCTTAACACCCTTTTTAAATATGAATTCACCTTAAATAGATGAGTTAGTTTATTTCTGGACTCAAAATTCTATTCCTTTGATAGATAAATCCTTATGTCAGTAGCACATTTTGCTGAGTGCTTGTAGCTTTCCAGTAAATTATAAAATCAGGGCATGTAAGTCCTCCAACTTTGTTCTTCTTTCAAGATTGATTGGGCTGTTCTGAGTCCCTTGCATTTCCATATAAATATTAGCAACAGCTTGTCAATTTTTACAAAAAAGGTCAGCTAGAATTTTAACAGGGATTGCACTGAACCTATAGATCAGTTTGTGAGGAACATTTCCATCTTTATATTAAATCTTCTGATTTAAGGTACAGTTGTCTTTCCATTTATTTAAGGCTTTTTAAATTTCCTTCAATGTTGTTTGGTAGTTTTCAGCATATAAATCTCGGATTTTTGTTACATGTATTCCTAAGTTTTTTGTTGTTGTTTTGTTTTGGGGGGTTTTTTGGCTGCTATCGTAAATGGAACTGGTTTTCTTAATTTCATTTTTGGATTGTTCATGGTCAGTGTGTAGAAATACAATTTAATTTTGTATATTGATCTTATATCTTGCAACTTGGCTAAATTTGTTTATTGTAATTGTGTGTGTGTGTGTGTAGACTTCTTAGAATGTTCTCTCTACAAGATCATGCTATGACAAATAAGGATAGTTTTACTTTCTCTTTCCAAGCTGAATGACTGACTTCTTTTTCTTGCCTAGCATTCCTGGCTAACACCTGCAGTACTGTGTTGAATCGAAATGATCAGAGCAGACATCCTCATGTTGTTGAAAGCTTTCAGTCTTCCACCATTAACTGTGTTAGCTATGGGGGTTTTTGTAGATACCCTTTATCAGGATGAGGAAATTCTCATCTCTTCCTAGTTTGTTGAGTGTTTTATCATGAAAAGGTGTTGGATTTTGTCAAATACCTTTTTTTTTCCCTTTGCCTCAGTGGACATGATTGTGCAGCTTTTTTTTTTTCCTTTATTCTATTAACATGGTATGCTGAATTGATTGAAGTTCATATTTGAACCAAGCCTGCATTCCTGGGATAAATCCCACTTCATCATGGGATTATGATCCTTTTTATATGTTTGCTTGATTCGGTTTGGCAGAATTTTGCTAAAGAGTTTTGCATCTGTGTTCATAAGGATATTGGTCTGCTTCTTTTCTCTTGATGTCTGGCTTTGTTACCAGGATAATACTGGCTTCATAGAGCAAATTGGGAACCGTTCCCTGCTCTTCTACCTTTTGGAAGAATTGTGAAGGATTCATGCTAATTCTTTTTTAAACATTTGGTAGAAATCACCATGAAGTCATCTGGTCCCGGCTGTACTTTAAGGCCGTAAACTTATAAGGGTCGTTGTTGTTGTTGTTGTTGTTGTTACTATGTCAGTTTCTTGTTAAATCTTCTTGGATTATTTTTTTTCATTTTCAGCCAGCTTTGCTGTTTCTGTCTTGGTAGGATTTTATCTGTTTCACCTAAGCTATGTGAGTTGTTGCCACACTATTGTTCATAATATTTCTTTAATAATTCTTTTTTTTTGCGTGAGGCTCGTTAACAATCACTTTCTTTCATTCCTGATTTTAGTAACTTGAGTTTTCTCCCTTTTTTTTTTTTTTCATGGTCAGCCTAGCTAACAGTTTGTCAATTTCATTGATCTTTTTAAAGAACCAACTTTTAGTTTTATTCTCTTTCTTCAATTTTTTTAATTTCTACTGTAATCTCGATGATTTCCTTTCTTCTGCTTTCTTTAGACATAATTTGCTCTTTTTTTTTCTTTTTTTTAATGTTTATTTATTTTGGGAGAGAGAGAAAACACGAGCAGGTAGGGGCAGAGAGAGAGAGAATCCCAAGAAGGCTCTACACTATCAGTGCAGAGCCCAGCATGGGGCTCGAACCCATGAATCACAAGATCATGACCTGAGCCAAAATCAAGAGCCAGATGCTTAACTGACTGGGCCATCCAGGTGCCCTTTTTTTTGTTTCTTAAGGAGAAATGTTAGGTCATTGATTTAAGATCTTTCCTCTTTTTTAATATAGTCATTTATAGCTACCAGTTTCTAAGCACTGCCTTTCCTATTATCCCATAAGTTTTGTTATATTGTATTTTCATTTTCATTCATTTCAAAGAATTTTCTGATTTCCCTTTTGATTTATTTTTTGACCTATTGGTTATTTAGGAGCATGTTGTTTAATTTCCACATATTTGTGAACTTCTAGTTTTCCTTCTGTTGTTGATTTCTAATTTCTTTCCGTTGTGGAGTGGTTATAGAACCGCCTAGTCTAGGGGTGCCTGGCAGGTTCAGTCAGTACAGCATGTGACTCTTGGTCTCGGGGTGGTGAGTTCAAGCCCCACGTTGGCTGTAGAAATTACTAAAATGAATAAGTAAACTTTAAAATAATAATAAAAAAAATAGAGGCACCTGGGTGGTTCAGTCGGTTGAGCTTCCGACTTTGGCTCAGGCCATGATCTCACAGTTCGTGGGTTCAAGCCCCACATCGGGCTCTGTGCTGACAGCTCAGAGCCTGGAGCCTGCTTTGGAGTCTGTGTCTCCCTCTCTCTCTCCCCTCCCCCACTCACACTCTGTCTCTTTCTGCCTCTCAAAAATACATAAACATTTTAAAAAATTAATAAAAAAATGAAGTCTTTGGTAAATCCAGTGTCTGGAATTCCTCAGAGATAGTTTCTATAGACTGATTTTTTTCCTACGTATGGACCATACTTTCTTGTTTCTTTGCATGTCTCATGATTTCTTCTTGTTGAAGACTGGGCATTTAAAATAATAATTTGATGATGCTAGACATCAGATTCTTCTCCCTTCCCAGGGCTGCTTGTTGCCACTGCTTATTGGTGATGTTTGTTTAGTGAATTTTCTCAGCTAATTCTGTAAAATCTGTATTCTTCTTCACTGTAGCCCCTGAGATAGCTTCCAGGTTCTTTGAGGGTCATCTAATGATTGCACAGAGATTTCTCTAGATGCCTGGATCAAAACAAATCTTCCAGGCTTTGCTGATGAGTTCTGTGTGTGTTTGGAGGCGTACCTTCAACACTGAGGCAGGAAGTTTACAAATGTACCTTAGTCTTTACTTCCTTGCTTGCTCAGAGGCTCACCCTGAGGCAGAAGTGACAGCTTAGGGCATTCTCAAATCTTCACCGAGCATGTGAATAACCATGGGCATATGGTTTTGGTCTTTAGGTACCAAGATATGTAGGAGCTTTTCAAAGCCCTCCCTAGGCATCCCATTCCCCAATTTGTTTTTTTAAGCTGTTTGGTCAGCTTATTGTCTGTCCCAACTGTTATCCACCCCCGTGGACACTGTGATGTTCAGGAGTTGCCTCTGATTCTTTTCAACAAATGCCTCCAAGGAAAAAGCTGTTCACACTGGCTGAGCTGTAATGCAGGAAAAATAAAGACAGCCTTGGAAGTGGGATCTTCCAGGAAACCACCAGACAGGTCAGAAGATGCCAGTTCTCCCAGAATGGACTTGAAGGGACTCCAGCCTTGTCCCACTCCCTGCGGCAGATGCCGGGGATGATGGTTTTCAAGGCTACTCCAGAGCTGGTGGGAAGGAATGGAAAAAGAGCAAGTTAACACTCCACAAAGCTGACTGTTCTCACTGATATGCAGCCAGTTTTCTTAAGTGAACTCTGCCTGGATTACTACAAGCCTTTGGTCCATTTCCAGAGTTCTGAAAAAGGCTGGATCTGACCATTTTTGCCAATGTTCTCATTGCTTTTATGGAGGAGAGACTCCTCAGAAGTCCGTCCTCCACTGTTTCATTGGCAACAAGCTGACTGTGAGTCTGCATGTGCACCCATACTCAGTGGCTAATTAAGGACACCAGGCTTGCACACAGGCTTATTGAAGCCACTTCTCCATGGATGAATTGTTTGTCGATTCTGTCGGTAGGGGCCAGTGAGGTCTTACCTGCCAGCCAGGACACCCACACTTTAGTCTCGCGTTTGCAACGAGCCGAGCATATGATCTTGGAACAAAGGAGCTGAGGTTTCCAAAGTACCTACTGTATGCCGCAGCGTGTGTTTTGTGTACATCATGTCGTTCTTGGAACACCCAAGAAACAGAAAACATTCCCGCTCAACAGATGAAGAAAGCACTAAAAGGCAAAGTGCTTAGTTAGCCCTATGCCTGCTCCACACAGCAAAGACTCCGTCTACTGATTATAGCACTGTTGTTACTACAACTCTTGCCGTTGGGGGGGGCGGGGGAGTTATGGGATTGCTCAAGGTCGTCTGAACACCGACCCGGGTCTGATTGCAGAGCCCACCGTATCCCACATCCCCCCCTCCAGCTTTCCTGGGCAAATCCGTTCCGGCTCTGGGTCTCGCTTTCCTTTAATCTGACGAACGAAAGATCTGGACTGACTGAAGTTATTCGGTCAGCAAACACTTACCGGCTTGTCTTTTTGAGATCGCCTCCAGGGTGCCATTATGGAGGCGTGTACTTCTGAGTTCAGGGGCTCACACTGGGGGCGTTGTCTTGTTCGGCTTGAGAAACGAAACGGACAGGTAGACTGGCAGGTGTATAACCCGGCATGTGTTTCTCTCCCCACCCCGCCCCCGGCTCCGCCCCCCTGCAGAGGCAAGAGGGGACAAAGCCAAGTGGGTGTTCACCTGGCCACTCATCTTCCTCCTGTGCGTGACCATCCCCAACTGCAGCAAGCCCCGCTGGGAGAAGTACTTCATGGTCACCTTCATCACCGCCACGCTGTGGATTGCCGTCTTCTCCTACCTGATGGTGTGGCTGGTGAGTGGAGGAAGCGAGGGCGGACTGTAGGCACAGCCCCTGCCCGGCACCTGCTGGGGGCTGGGAGAGCTGGGTTCAAAGAGCGGCCTCAGGCACTGCTGTGCAAGTCCCTCCCTTCGCAGCCGTTGGCATGTCGCTGGGTAGAAAGGTTCAGCAGAGGAGCGCGGGGCAGTGCCGCGCACCGGGGGCGCCCAGATAGACATCGCGTGGCGCTTGCCTTCCAGGCAGGAGTTGGGGCGCGTTGAGGGAGACAGACCTTCACACGGAGATTGTGAGACATGCTGCCCGGGTGCCGTGCAAAGAGGAATACGGTGGGGGTGATGTGGCTGCTGTATAAGGATCTCTGGGGGGCTAGTCACTAGGCCCCCTTCCTCTCCAGGGTCCCTGGGGGGAACGTGAGGGAGACAACACAAGGCAGCCCTTTCTGGAACCCCTGCCCTCATGACAACCCGATGGGGTAGGTGTTTTTTATTTTGCCCATTTTATAGAGGAGGAAACTGAGGCATCCAGATGGAGTCATCAGCTCCCTTGCACGACTACCAACTAGGGCACAATTAGTTACATAATCAGTAATGTTTAGAGTTGGGGTTAGTCCCCAGTGTTGGGCCCTGAGTCCATGATCTCAGTTGTGACCCTGAGCTGCCTATCAGTCTCCTACTGGAGCTTTCTGATGCCATGGGGACAGACGTTTTGCAGGCAGAGAGGCATTGGCACAGTTCCTTGTAAGCTCCTCTGGACCACGTGGGACAGCCCCCTGGGGCGGGCCAAGCAGGAGCCCCTTCCCCCTTGCTCTGTGTGCCACCCCATGGGGTCCCCCCTTTCTGCTCCATGTAGGGAGCCTAGGAGCAGGAGAGCAGTGACAGACAGCTGTTTCTGTTGCTGTGAAAGCTCACCTGTCAGCAGCTCACACCGCAGTGGTACACGTGTAGACATTTCACTCTCCGCCTGATGCCTGACGCCAGCTGCAGAGGGCAGCGAGTCTTGGTTTGAGAGGCACAGGGGCTGCCTTTCCCTTAGCCCCAGAGGAGCAGTGTGGCGGGGAGAAAAGGGCTGTGGGATCACATGGAAATGAATTTGAATCGTAGATCTCCCACTCACAAGCCACGAACTCAGGTGACTCAGTTTCCAGAGCCACAAGTCACCTCCTCTACGAAAGGGGGACGATCATCCTTGCCTCACAGGGTCATTGGGAGAGTGGAAGTGTCTGTTCGGGCATCGTGGTCTGAGCATGACAGATCAGTCACCGCCGAAGCTAATAGCTGTTCGCACCACAAGGTGCAGCCAATGCTGCTTCCATGCTTTGTTCAGATAAAGGCTAAAGTCCTTATAGATGCTGTGTGTGTGTGTGTGTGTGTGTGTGTTGGGGTGGGAGGAGTTGAAAATAGCTACTCTCCGACCCTCCCCACCCCCAGAAAAGGAGGACAAAGATCATGAAAACGATTCCTTAAATGAATTGCACTTGTAAATTGACATTTTTCTGAATAGGGTTAA